GCGTGGCAGACCTCTCCTGACCCGCCCGCTGCTCCCCTCAGCAGTGTACTTCATCCATCTGCCTGTTCTGCTCCCCGCTCTGTCTCTGGTGAATCTTCTCGCCACCCCTGCACCTCTGGCCTGTACCCCAGTTCTGTATGCATAAATAAATAAATCTTAAACAAAAAAAGAGGTTAGTACTTTAAATCTACTAAGTGGAATCATTATTATCACTTTATTATTCTGAAACTTCCAGGATTTTATTACAAGGAATATGTCTCCTTTTTAAAATAGAACCTGCTTTACATCTGTCATCTGTTTACTTTTTAGGAAATTAGAAGGAAGTTTTGTCAAGAAGCCAATAGCCACATATGTTTTCCTCGATGGGGAAACTGGAATACTTGACAGCAAGCCAGAAACCTACTTAGTGCCACCTTTTTCCAGTAGTCTTTTGCGTGCTCTAGTCTTTGCAAAGAAATGAAAATCATTCAGTTTCTGCCTATAATAACCACCTCTCAACTGTTGTGCTTGATGTACTCTATACCAGTTGAGGGTGAAGAGGCACACATGATCGTTCTTTCAAAGACAGTACAAAGAGTAAACAACAATTTGAGCAATCTAAAAGCCAAAGGGTATTATGTGAGACTGCCCAGCAAGTGGCAGACTGTTACTTGTTTTATTGAAGTACAACATGTATAAAGTACTTGAGCCTTAAGTGCACAAATAGCTGATGGAGATCCAGAACAGGACCAACACCCAGGGCTCCATCAAGCTTCCTTGCAGTCCCTCTGACCCTTCTCTGGTGACCTTTACCCTGGTTTTGTATCATACAATCTGCAGTGTGTGGGCTTTTGTATCTGGTTTCTTGAACCCAATAATGTGAGGTTCATCTATATTCTTACAGTTGAGTGAAGACTAGCTTGTTCTTTCTCGTTGCTCTGAATTGTTCTGTGATGTAAATTTATCAATTACCTCTTCTGTGATGGATGAAAATGTGAATATTGTTTGCAGGTTTATGGATTTAATTTTTTTTTTTTTTTCAGTAAGTTTTACTTTGTGGAGGAATTTTAGACTCCACAAAATTAAGCAGAGTATAGCCTTCCTATATTATCCTGTCCCCACAGTGGTACATTTGTTACAACCACTGAACCTACACTAACACATCTGTCACCCAAAGGGTGTTGCCTTTTAAAAATGGTGCTCCCATGGACCCCCAACTTCAGTGCAGTCCAGTAGAACTTCCTGCTGTGATGGAGATATCCTACTTATGCTGTCCAGTAGTACCTACAGCCACATGTGAGTGACTGAGTATATTAAATACTTCAAATGTGGCTAATGACATCTTCAGAAATTCTTTTTTTAAAAAAAAAAAGATTGATTGGCCCTCCCTGGTGGCGCAGCGGGTTAAAGCACTGCACTGAGAATCTAAAGCCGCTTCTGCATGAGTTCGATTCCCGCCTGCCCCGGAGGTGACCACATGGCGTGGCAGACCTCTCCTGACCCGCCCGCTGCTCCCCTCAGCAGTGTACTTCATCCATCTGCCTGTTCTGCTCCCCGCTCTGTCTCTGGTGAAGCCTCTCGCCAGCCCCTGAGCCTCTGGCCTGTACCCCAGTTCTGTATGCACAAATAAATAAATCTTTAAAAAAAAAAAAAAAAAGATTGATTTATTTGTGCATACACAACTGGGGTACAGGCCAGAGGTGCAGGGGTGGCAAGAGGACTCACCAGAGACAGAGTGAGGAGCAGAACAGGCAGATCGCCGAAGTACACTGCTGAGGGGAGCAGCGGGCAGGTCAGGAGAGGTCTGTTGCACCATGTGGATTACCCACAGGGCAGGCCGGAATCAAACTCATGCTTCTTAGTGCTGTGTTTTAACCTGCTGTGCCACCAGGGAGGATCCCAGAAATTCATTTCTAAGGGGAATGATTGCTAACTCCTGTCTGACCAAATAATCAAGGGTTGGAATGGTGAGGTATTTTTTCAGGAGGGGTATTTACCAGGAGGGCTAGGAGTGTGTTTTCTTTTTTAAAAAGATTTATTCATTTATGCATACAGAACTGGGGTGCAGCCCAGAGGTGCAGGGATGGTGAGAGGATTCGCCAGAGACAGTGGGGAGCAGAACAGCAGATGTACTGAAATACACTACTGAGGGGCAGCAGCAGGTGGGTCAGAAGAGATCTGCCACGTCATGTGGGTCAGCTCCCTGGCCAGAGATCAAACTAGAGCTGCAATGGCTGGCTGTGGTAGCTTCATCATGCTATTGCGCCAGCAGGGAGGGCCTAGGGGTATGTTTTATGCTTATAATTTACACATCTTGACTACTTCTAAAGTAGACAGTCAACCATATTAAAGCACTCATAATGTGAGAACTATTTAGACAATTTTTTAAAAGACTCAAGTCAGTATTCTAGAGGTGGGGGGAAGGGGAAGGGAAACTTATGAAAGAACCACAGTGAATACA